CCCCGCCGCCACGTAACAACATTCCTTGGCAAGACGAGCCCCGTGGTCCGGTCGGTCGGCCCCGTGCCCGGCAGTAAAATAGATTCGAAGGGGGCGTCGGGAGCAGGAGGAGAAATAAAAGGAAGTAAAGCGAGAAATGGGAGAGAATAGCATCGGATGGAAGTGGGAGCTTTGGAACTCTTATCTCATCGGCGGGCGGGGGGCGGCAGGCGGGGCGGGCGCGGCCCGCAGCAGAGGCTCGACATCCAGCAGCATCATGACTGCGCCAAAAACCAGTCTTTGTTTTCGCTCGCCGCGAGCCGAGCCGAGCTGGCCGAGGCGGGGTCCCTGGCCCCTAGCGCGGCGGGGCGGTCCATTCAGGTGTGCCATTCATAGGAGCACTGCGGGGGGCGACCAAAAGCCACGTGCAAAAGCGATTAGTTTGCGACCCCCGACCCCCGCAAAGACTGGCTGCGGCTGCGGAGCCTTAGCCTTGTCATGAGTGCTGCTGAAACATCGACTGCGATGTACGAGTACGGAGTAACCGTCTTCCACCTCTTCTGCCCTCCTCCCCCCCCCAACGGCTGGTTTGGTTATGCGTCAAGCAAGGCAGTTTCCTGCCGGGGACCTCAAGAAGTAGTAGTACTGACTGTTGATTAGTCAGCCAGACTGTGCGACAGCCGCGCGAGGCTCACTGAATGAACGAGTTGACACTGCGCACTGCCAAAAACTTGACGGTCTGGCGGGAGAAAGGCGCTGCTGAAGGCAAGGTGGAAGAGGCTGCTGATGTCGAGACGCGCTCCAAAACTATCCTCGGTCACACATGTCTCCCCCTGCCAGCTTCTCTCAAAAGAAAAGTGACGTTTATCTGATGTAGTGTGGGGCCACAGAGATGAGATGTCACCCGCAGCAGCCTTGGTCGAGGCCAGTGATGTGTCTATGTCTAGGCCTTGATCGAGGCCTTTGATCGAGGCCTTGCTCGAGGCCGCGCCCAGCCCCGTCACTGCCGTCCTCATCGTCATGCACCGAGCGCAGCAGTCCTTCCTGTGGGCGGGGGAGGAGGCCGCCGAGGTGGACCTCTGCCCAGCGGGCCTTACTAGACGCGGCGCCCATAGCCGTAAGCCCCCCCCCCCCCCCGCGCGTCCCGCGGGCCGCTAGTGCGGCTAGAGTCCCGGCAGGATGTGACCTCTTCGCTCCGTCCGCCTACCCATCCAGAGACACGGCCTTGATGACTCCAGAGCCGCGCGACTCCAGCTGCAAGTCCAGTCGGGCATGGGGGCCCCCAGTCCAAAAATCACGTGCACTGCATGGAGGGAACGGCAAACGCCCCACTATCATGGGCTATGGGAAACCCTTCGGATGCTATGAATGACCCATGGGATTTTTCTCCACATGGTGGTTCCCTTCGTGTGCTTTAGAACCTGCATCGTAGAGGAGCTGGCGGGGCGTTGGGCAGCGCCCAGCTGAGAGCACGGCGATCACCGTGGTGTGGAGGAGTGAGTAAAGAATAGCGGTCAGGCCGGTTTGAACCGTCGCGCCGTGGCGGGTGGAGGC